CCGAAAATGTGCAGGTTACTGCACTGCTCATACTACTGGAGTCCGAAAAAAATTCACAGAATGGCTGGCATGGTGTAATGTGAACTTTTGTTTTTGTTTGGACGGTATTAGGCATAGAAAAAAACGAAAACGCATTCATACGATAAAACAACTTCCGGACAAAAAATGCGGTTCTTCATATTTTTGAAAAAATGCGTTATTATCGCAGGTTTGGCCGCTCAGACCTACGGCGTAATTCGTCAGTAACAATCGCCGTCAATTCGATCTTCTGGAAAATAACGAAAAAGTCATGGTATTATTACGACAAAACTCGTTGTTCAAATATGCAAAAGAAAAAACAAGCGAAACTTTAATCAGTCCTATTTAAGCGTATCTTAGTTGGGAATTAGTGCATCAGTGCGAGTCAGACATTCGGCAGTGCGAACTCGGTGTCCAAAGAATGCCATGCACCAGAAGGATCGAAAACAATGTCCAGGAATTGAACAGGTAAGAATAAACTTGCGAATCGAACCCAACTTTTGCCTCTTAACCAATAAGACACTACCTTTCTTCATTACCAAGTATCCTCCAACCCAATTCCTTGCCTTCCGCCATATTTCTCACTTTTTTTTTCAATCTTCAGACTCAATTTCCAAACTACTAATAGCCGTGATTCTGGTGCCAGTTAGTAGCTACAAGCATGTCATTAACCAGTAAAGCAGAACAATGACATTTACATCAAGGAATGAAATATTTAGAATTCTTCATGGCATTTATTGTGCAGATACCGTTTTTACAGACCGCATCTCACAGTTATGCAAAAAAAAAGCTCTGTTACAGAAAATTTGGAACTCTTTCAAAGAGCAGTTCCAAGGAACTTAACCCGGAAAGTGAATGGCAGAAAAATTTTAGAAGTACCAGCCCAACAGATGGTACTCTAGGACACGCTTCTAGAACATGCAGAGAGTCCACGCACAAACCCGGTGGAATGATGAACAACGTGAAACGGCATCGCTTGCAACTTTTTTTGCGTTAGCCATGAATTGGTCCGTAACTACGTAATTTATGTTGGTACATTCGGACAGCAAAACAAGCGTCTATAGGAAAACAAGTTTCAAAGCCCGGTCCGCTGCTTGGAAAAAGCGAAGAAATAAAAAAAAATGTCAGGTAAGCAGTGCTTTCAACAGGCCGAAAATTTCGCTTTTTTTCGGCAAAGCTTTCGCTGCAGCAATAAATCATTGTTAAGCAGAGCGGTGTTCGTCATGTTTGCTCTGCTCATTAATGAAACCAACTGATAAAAAGTAGTGTCCGACATGTTTTACTCAGGTTAACTCGGAGTTAGACGCTTGGCGCTGAGCTGATTTGTGTGTGACTGACTGCTTACAACACTGCTTACAACACAGCTGTTGTAAGCAGCTTTATTCTTTAGCATCTTTTATATTACATCCAATATCATGCACAACTACTCATTAATACAAAGAAAAATTTTTTTTTAATTACTCTTGTTTATTCTGCTACAAAACAAATTTACCGCATTGTGCTGCTCAAGGTGAAAATGCCAGACACAACTATCGGAATACATTAACTTGATTATCCACACTGCTATCTACACTGTTATCAATACATGATCCTGGACGCGGCGTACACTGGTTACCCCTTCCCGTAGGCATTTTTAAGGAGCAAGCGAGAATATGTCAAGTGAAAAACTTTTCCTAGCAGTAAAAGAAATGTTTCCACTACATCGGCTTCGAACAGTGAACAGTGGGGCTGGCGTGACTTGAAAATTAACGATGTTAGCAAGCAAAATTTTTTAGTATTTATGAGGCACGTTTCGAATTCAAAATTTTATACCCAAGAAGAGCTGGAATACATATATTATCCCGAATTCCAGGCGCTGGAACATTTGGCGCACACATATATCAACAATTTTCGTAATCGACACTGTTGTAAATTTGGAAATGCAGCAAAATCACGGTTTAAAACTGTTTATCCGTATGAATCACAGGTGAACTATATAACTGATTACTTTCTCGACACAAGCCAAAATGTTTCCATAACTCCCTTACCCTGAAAAAAATGCAGTTTGTTGAAGGGTTTTTTTTTTGTGTCTCTCCTATTATTTCTATTTGTGCCACGTAAACGAACGCCAAAGTGCAACAAGCGAGTCAGTAGCCCCGATTGCGCAAAATTCATTTCAAAAAAAAGCATAAAGTCTCTAAACACAAGTATTAGAATAAAAACACAGTATTTTTTTATTTTTTTGACATTTTTATTGCGTTTATTTTTGTATGTGCCTTAACTGTATTCGCTGAAATTATTGTAGTATCCTGCATTCTTGCCCAAAAACTCAGTACTGCTTGATAAAAATTTATGAGCATAGGAAATAAGAAAAATAGTTGTGTTTAAAAAATCAGTAATTGAAAAAATGATTAATAAAGGTGTTTCATTCGAAGGCTCTGGAATTTCTGATTTTTTGATAAATAGAACTTTGACAATTAATATAGATTTGACCAGTGGCTGGTAATGCAATAAAGTTTAAGCAGCTACGCAGACAAAAGACGTGTTATGGGGAACAACACCAAGAG